TAATGCTGAAAACTTTAAAGCATATAGACAAACAAATTACACAGTACTGTAAAATGACACGATTTTGATTAAAACCAAGAACAGAAATGCAGACTAGAGTTTAGGCTTCAAATGACCCAGGCCAGCTTGGACTAGCTGAAGACCTGCCTTAATATCAACCAAAGCTTTAGCCTGTTCCACTTGTTTTCTCGATTGTAAATCAAAGTCTAATTAATCCCCCAAGGAAAACAATCGCCTCTAATCACCTTGTCATGACAATACTTCTTTGTAATATTGCAGATGCTTAGGGACATTTTATAAACAGGATGTAAGTGAACATCTATTAAAAAATTAACTAGATTACTGCAGTTGCTAAATATTATTGCAGGTTTCATAATACTATGTGCTTTATGGCCAACATATAAAACAGCAGCTGCTGTTAGAGGAGTTTGTTTTTCCACTCAGAATCAAAATTTTGGCTTGGGGATGGGTGTTATTTTTCTACCCTCATTCTTTTTCTGGGAATTGTTACACCAAGCAGACAAAAAAAAAAAAAAAAAAAAAAGAAAAAAAAAAGTCTTCCCAAATTTTTTTCCATGGGTTTCTTTATTTTTATCTTTAACCCACCCTGCTACTCCCCGGTTGATTGCTGATAACTCTCCTCTATTGTGTCTGCATTTGTATTGCTAAAGCAGGGGTTTTCCCAGATCCTGTATCTGGGCAGGTGCCCCAAACCAATTCCTGAATCCATGTTGAAATGCTAATTTTTTCTCAGGTTCTTGGGTAAATTAAGCAACGTCGTGGTGGGTTGACCCTGGCTGGACACCAGGTACCCACCAAGATGCTCTATCACTCCTCCTCCTCAGCTGGACAGTGGAGAGAGAATAAAAGCTTGTGGGTTGAGATGAGGACAGGGAGATCATTCACCAGTTATTGTCATAAGCAGAACAGACTCGACTTGGGGAAAATTAATTTAATTTATTACCAATCAAATTAGAGTAGGGTAATAAGAAATAAATCCAAATCTTAAAAACACCTCCCCACCACTCCCTTCTTCCTGGGCTTTACTTTAGCCCTGATTTCTCTACCTTTTCCCTCTGAGAGGTGCAGGGGGACAAGGGATGGGGCCTGTGGTCAGTTCATCACACGTCGTCTCTGCTGCTCCTTCCTCGTCAGGGGAGGAATCCTCACGCTCTTCCCCTGCTCCAGCGTGGGGTCCCTCCCACAGGAGACAGTCCTCCATGAACTTCTCCCACGTGAGTCTTTCCCAGGGGCTGCAGCTCTCCAGGAACTGCCCCAGCGTGGGCTCCCCACGGGGTCACAGCCTCCTTCGGGCATCCCCCTGCTGCAGCGTGGGCTCCTCCCCGGGCTGCAGGTGGGTCTCTGCTCCCCCGTGGAGCTCCATGGGTGCCGGGCACAGCTGCCTCCCCATGGGCTGCCCCACGGGCTGCAGGGGAACCTCTGCTCTGGGCCTGGAGCACCTCCTGCCCCTCCTCCTGCACTGACTGGGGGGCTGCAGGGGTGTTCCTCTCACATATTCGCAGTCTCCTCTCTGGCTGAAGTTGCTGGGTTTTTTTTTCCCCCTTGTTAAATAAGTTATCCCTGAGGCGCTACCACCGTCACTGATGGGCTCAGCCTTGGCCAGTGGTGGGTCCATCTTGGAGCCGGCTGGCATTGGCTCTGTTGGACACAGGGGAAGCTTCTGTCAGCTGCTCACAGAAGCCACCCCTGTAGCTCCCCCACTACCAAAACCTTGCCACACAAACTCAATACAAACATAAAGACGGAATGAGCTTTTTGACACATTTAATTTTCCCCAAGGGAGAGAGCTCCACCAGTCCTGCCAGCAGGATGACATCCACCTTGGATCACCTATCAGGAAGGAAAATCTAGACCAGGATATGACTTTCCTTTACCACTGCAGCAGCCTGAAGGACTGCTTGACTCACAATCAAAGTATAAAGGGGCAGAAGGGCAAACAGAGACAGGGGAGGACAAGGAAGCACTGAGAGCAACAGTCATGCCCAACAAAAGACATCAAGGTTTCTGCATCCATTGATGATGTAGGTCTATCTGCAGGTGTTTATGGGGGAATTTTATCAAGGATAAGGCACAGAGTGGAAAAGCACGGCCTTGTGGAAAACTTTTGGAAGTCTAATAGATAAGCAATGATAGCCACGTCCAGGCAGAAGCAATTGGTGTCGTTCCACGTTGGGTGTGAGAAGACAGAGGGAACAATGTCTGCAACAGAGCAGAGGTGGAGTTGGTGTCCCTGAACATTTTCCTACAGTCCCTTCTGCAAGGGCTCCTCTATCTCTAGCCTTATTCTGTGTATTGGTGTTGGACTAGATCCTGATTTTGGTCCTCTCTGTTTCCTTCTATCCACCTTCTCCCCTGATGTATTTTATCTGTGTTTCTCCTGCCATACAGCTGTGACGCTGAACCTCAGCACTGGGCTCCAACCTCTCTTCCCTCTCGATCCTGACACTACCCATGGGGACTTTCTCCACCAGGACCTGCAGTTCAAGCACACTTTTTTCCAGAAATGAACACATTTTCCTTCCAGATCCCACCTCTCCACCTTCCGTTGACTCCGAGACCTTTGACTCCTTTTCTTTCTTTCCTGTCTTTGCTGCAGCACATCACTTGCTCTCTTCTTTCATTCCCAAGTCCACACTTCCCTCTTGGAGACCAAGACCTCACACAGCATGCAATCGCACACTTGAAGTTATAAACACAGTTGTCCTAAAACCTCTCCTTTTCTACCTTCGTAACTTGAGTTTTTCAGGCAGAACCAAGGTCTAGACCATTATTTCTCAGCACGCTGGCTTATCTCTATCTTCTAATCTAATTTCTTTTTTTTGTCTCTTCACATTCTTGGCCTTGTGCCTTTGCCCCTTCCCTGTGCTCATCTGTCAAACGTCCTCTTTTCTTCAAAGCGCTGCTTAAAATTCATTCTCCAAGCAGCACTCCTCTTTTCTAATCACTGGTAACCACAGATATTTTCTCATGTTCTGCCATGTGTTTAACTTGACTACTTTAGATTTCAAAGTCTGCTAGACAGGGAGTATGTCTTATCTGTAGTCTATAAAATACTGTTCACATCTATGCTACTCTACAAATGTTATCTAATAAATGGAATTCACTGCGGTGTATTTATGATCAGCTACAAAAGGATGAGGAAGACCAGCTAAGATGTGAAGCTAACCATTTAAAGTCTTAAATAAAGAACCCAGTGACATGAAGAAATTAATTCTGAAGTGAGATTTTGCTTTGCACCATAAAGAAATTATTATTTGCAGCTAGATTTGAGCAAACAGCTGGGTTTTGTTTCATTGCTTCCACCCGAGTGGAATTTACTCTGCAGCATGTGCTCAGATTTGTGAATAAGCATCTCACATCGCTTTGCACTAAGAGCAATTGCTGCGCTAACAGTTCAGGTCTTGAGAACCACAGGAGCATGCTCAGGATGATGTTCTGACCCTGTTGGGCTTTTTGGGAGAGTTGTAGCCCAGGCTGCTGGGAGCACGTGTACTGCCCTAAGTCAGGGCTGTAGGGAATGAGACAGAAAAGATAAAAGTGGATTTTGAAAACTAAAAATCCAGGCTGACCTTCAGTTCTGTTATAGTCACTCAAATGGAACCTCCTCACCTTCTATGCAGTGGGAGGATCAATTGGGGAATAGAAGGAAAGGCAGCTTATAATATTAGACCCCCACTGAAGCATCCTCCAGCTCTAAAAACTACATCACTGCAAACACACTCAGCATTTGCCCGGCCACCCTCAGCAAATGGTTTCGCAGAACATACGGCAGCAGCTGCTGCATCTTGCAAAGTCAGCACCTAAGATTGCTTTTCCCTGTAAATTTAAGTTACAATGTGCGCCCGTTCCCAACATCCCTCTATTCCACCAAAGGGAAGGAGTCTGGCTGACCTAATGCCTTTAGCAAGCGGAGCCTTGATGCCGGGGCCAGGAGGAAGGAAAATTAATGTTATCAGCAGCTAATAAAGCCCAATTGCTGCAAATGCTCCCCAGAGGACCTTGGCATCATCAGTTGCTGAGCCATGCAAACTATTGTGATTCCAGGGGAGAAGCAAGGAATTGCTGTCATGTCGTTTCAGAAAGGAGTACGCTTAACCAGTCGTTAGCTGATGTACACTGCTCAAGAGATAATATATATATATATGCGCATTTTTATATATATATAAATATACAACAGTTGCCAGAAGTGCTGCAAATCTGGCTTCTAGCTAACAGCATTGAAAAGTCCCCATTTTCCTACAGTGTGTGCACGTGCAAAAAAAAAAAAAAAAAAAAATCTCAGCATAGAATTAATTGGAATTGAGGCTCGTGAGCAGGTTTCAACTCGCGTAACTCTACTCCTGTCAGGACATGCTGATTGGTGTATGCCCCTGTTTGAACCCAGGCAAATCCTCTTCCTTGCAGAACACTTTATCTCAGAACTACAAACCTCATACATCACTGCATGGTAATACTCATATAGCTGTAGCTATGACTTCTGAGGATTCTTCAGTCTAACTCATAATTCTGGCCTGGAATTAGGTAATAAATATTTTTTTAAATATATATATATATATATATATATATATATAAAGATTATCTGTACGTATATATACACAAACTAATAGAAAAATAAAGCTAAAAAAGAGCACTGCTCATCACCAATGTCATAGGCTTCCTCTGAGGAGCAGAGGGTGTGGGGAAAGCCCTGGAAGAGAATGTCAGTCACATTTTATTGTTCAGGCATCACCCAGGGAAGGGAGGAGTCGTGCTGGAAGAGGGCAATGATTTGCCACTCAAAAGATGCCAATTAGGGAGAGAAGTTACAGGGCCCTGTGGGGAGCTGCTGAGCAAGGACAGCAGCTGAGCAGCAGCTTGGGATGGCAAAGTGGCCTGAGGAAAGACACAGCGGTTGGTTAATTACATGAGGAGGGCTGGAGACCAGAGGGAAGACTGTAGAAGACACATTCTTCTATTGATTTATTTCTTATTTAGCCCTAAGTCCACACAGTATCTAAGCAACTCGGAATCACAAATGGATTTTATCCTTACGCTAGCCTGTGGAGCGGGGAGATGGCCAAATGCTTGGAGAGCCAAGTCAAAGAACAAAGCAAGTGATTTATTTGCCTGGGGTCATAGAGACCATCTCACCCAGATGATGTGATCTTCACCACAAAGACATGTTTTCCCTGAAGAAGGGAAGCTGGTCAGCAATCTGCTGGTATTTGAGAAGAAAGGCCTGAAGATAAGCAAAACACTAATAGAGGAGAGAGAGAAATTTCACACACACAAAAAAACACCCCTCACCTTGTATTTTTGCCAGTGGAAAAGTTTTATAACATTATTATATATGCCCACGTGCTGGGGAGAAGCTCACAGCACACAGCACTGTTGGGTCAGCTCATGAAACAGGGTAGTGGGATGGGTCCTGATGAGAGGCAAGACATTGGTCCACTACAGCCATCCGTGGTTTTTTTCCAGAGGCTTCACAAAAAGAAGTTCTGCATCCTACCTGACCTGGAAGCCGCAGGTTTCTCAGCTGTGCTTCCCATTATCTGAACATAATGCTTCCCATTATCTCTCCCTGGAGGTGTTTAAGAGTAGGATCGACACAGCGCTGAGGGATCTGGGGGAGCTGGGAACTGTCAGTGCTGGGTTAACGGTTGGACTGGATGATCTTCAAGGTCCTTTCCAACCTAGTTGATTCTGTGAACAGCTTGGCGAGCATGACACATTTTCCAACACAAAAGCACTCCCTTGTGGTTTTTAGACTGGCTGCTTAGTACCGAATCAAAGTTGACCATCGGTGGATGATCTCCTAGTCACTCAGATCCAGTACAGACTTCCTTGCTTCAGCAAGAGTCTTCCATGCTTAGAGGCTCTATCATGAATGTCCACCTGAAAAAGCAGAGTATGGGAGACACATCATCTATGCAAGAGTCAGAATCAGTCCTCCTCCACCACGGGTGCTCATCCGCACTTCTTCATAAATAAGAGGTTTTAATTTTCCTCTTCCACCAGCATTTTACATCACCCTCTGAGAAGTAAGCTGGATGACAACCGTGGAAATGTAATGATCACCAGGACACCAACCATGGCATCCCCGTGACCCGCAGCAAGTTTGTGTTTGGTTCCATACAGTGCCCCCCCATGGTTTTGCCTTGCCCTGCCAAGGAGTCCTCACCACCACCTCTCCTTAGAGAGCATTAGAATATAACAAAGCAAAGTGGACTAAATACCAGGACATATTATTTTTGCTCAGCTCCATCCCTCAGAAAACCCTGTGATGTTCACCAGGAGAGCTGCTACGCTAAGCAAAGTGAACTTGACATACACAGACAAGAAATGATGATTTCCCTGATCTCATTCCCTCCAATCCTCATTTCTCTTATATGTGTTGCTTTCAGTGGTTAACAAAAGCATTTTATTCCACTACAGGAAACTATCACCCTTCCTCCTTCTCATCAGGACGAATAACTGAGGATTCTCCACAAAAATTTTAACCAGTGAACTTAATCTCATTGCAGTTTCTTCAACTGTGGACTTTGGAGAACAGTCTGTTTAAGATGCTTCTGAAAAGAATATTTTTATTTTTTTTTATTCCTATGCATATCACTTAAAGAGTAACATTTTATAAGAGTTGCAAAAAAACATAATTAAACTGGGCTTTCACTAGAAACTTTTTTTGTTCAATCTTGGACATCACTTCAAGCGTCAAGGTATTACCAACAGAATAAGAAACTAAATGCAGATCAGTAAAAAGCATCATTTCTCTCTTCCAGTTGAGTGTGGGAAAGAAGCAAAGATTTCACATTTATAATGTCATGGTACATGGTGTGACCAGATTAAAGAATTTTGGGGTTTTCTGGTAGTAATTTGATTTTCTTGAGCTATTTCCTTTGTCAAGTGATCATGAAGGAGACCAGTCTGCCACCAAGCTCTAAGAGCAACATAAAAAAGTGATTAAGTATTATTGTTCTTCACAGGAAGCTGTGTTTACAGCGGGATGCAGTTTGTGCTGTTCCGGCTTGAGTTCGCTGCGAAACATCTGCATAGGATTGTTTACGCTCCTGCAAAAACAAGAGCGAGCTTGCAGCGTGGCTGCAGAAGCCTGGCTTCATTCCTAGAGAGCTTCACACAGGTGGCGTCCGATAAAGACACCTGACCCTTTGATTTGTCTTTTACGTCAATGTTTTTGAGGGCGGGGGGTTGGGGTGGGGGGTGGTGGAAAATCATATGTTTAATTCGAAACTCGCGTACGTTCTCTGCCAGCTCAGTCCGTCAGTATCTATAAAAGAAAAACACAAACATACAACGTTACGGGCTCATGTTTCAGCAATGAAGCACCCAATTAAACGAGTCAGTCTTTCCCAAACAGCAGTCTTTCTCCACTCCCATTATAATCAAGTTCTATTGTTTTTGCAAAACAAATTATTTTTTTTTTTCCTTTTTAATGAAACAATAAATTCTCGGTAGCTGAACCTAAAAGCAAACAGAAGTTGAAGTTGTGGCCATGGAAATGCAAAGTAACAGTGGCTTTGAGTTTCTTGGTTTAACCCATTCACATTACACACGGCCCTGAGCATCTCACTGTCCTTAGTGCATTGGGAATCTCAGGGACTCCTCGCTTTTTGACCACCACAAAGCAGCAGTACCCTACAGAGTTCGGAAGAGACTGACGCCACCTGAACAGTAATGGAAAACTCAAATTGCGTGCTAATACAAGCCTGTAGGGGAAAGGAAACGTGTCAGAGTTCCTTTCACAAGTCACAGAGTTTCTTTTGTGGTGGCTCCCCCCTGGATCAGTTCAGCAGATGGATCCATCAGAAGATGGATCAGCACAAGGCACAAGCATTAAGAGGAAGCTTTTCAAAAACGGATGGTTCACGGAAGAACAGGATGAATTTGAACACACCGTGATGGCAAAGTGGGAACACGCACTGCCACAAACTCTGAGGAACAAGACTGTAGCCAAGACACTACGCTCAGCATGGAGCGTGTTGTGTCAACACACAGCTAGGCTGGGCCCCTGCCAAGCCGACCAGAAGGTATCTACACTAAGCTCTCTTGGGTTGGATTATTTATGTTTTGGTATTAAAATCTGACAAATAAACCTAACAATATTTTTGGCAAGACTCCAACAGCAGCAATAGTAAGTGTTATGTTAACATAAGTTATTACTTACTACACTGCAGTACGCAACGCATCTGGTCACGGGAAGCAGAAGACAAGTCTGCTGGACGAAGTCACCCCAGAGAGTGTGGGTTGCAGGAGAGAGGCTGCTCCATTTCACTGGGCTTCTTGGAGCGGTTTGGTGGCAGCAAGGGACACACTCTCTACGACAAAGAGTATGATGAGCAGGGTGGGTGGAATATAATAAATGAAGGGCTCAAATCACAAGCATTTGTATTTTGATAAATCATCGAAACAGAGGCTTAGAAACAGAACAAAGAAATCTTAAGTCTGTAGGAGAAGCAATCACCATTTTTCACAGGAACAAACTCTCCAGGGGCATCCTGGCATTCCCACTGCCTGTTATCTTCTCGGTTTCATGAACGATCTCATAAAACCAGTGAAGGAGCTGTCATTACTTTAAGGGATGTTGCCACAGGATGCTGTAGCAAATGGGGTGTCCGTGAAAGGGTGAATATTTTTGCAGTGCAACCTCATTCATCTGAGGAGAACATCACCAAAGAGCACACAGACAAAAAACACAAGGTGAAGGATGAAGGCACGTAGAATTCCTCACAGGAGACTCCACAGGTCCTTGGGAGCTGGTATCATTTCTATCTTCGCTATTGTATGGTAAAATTTTATCACATCCAGGACTCTTTGCACATCCCACGGGACAGTGGTAGTGATTGCATGGTTGACGTCACCACACTTCTCGATAGCGTGACCGACACAACCTGACATTTGCAAGCCCATGTGTCAATTCACCTGCTGATCTCACCTGTCCTAGGCTACAAAAGAGGTCCTCTTCCCCCCATCCTTCCTTCCTTCCTCTCAATGGCCCCTGGGCTTCATCTACCTGTGGGGTAGCTCGTGCACCTCGACCAAGACAACACACACGTGCAACACAACATCAACACCTCTTTGTGCTGGGCTGTCAGCATGCCACACACTCTTCCCAAATGTCCTGTCCCACAGCAGGTCTCTCTTCCGTGTGGTGGTCTCCAAGGCATGGGAATTCAGATCATCTACACCTATGGTGAGGAAATGGCCCCGTGTTTTTCCACAGCTGTCCTAACCAACTAAGCAATTTCTCGGTGATTTCCATGGGGAACTTCACTTAATTTGACCTGAAAACCTCCATTCATTACATTACAGACATCCTGCTAGTCTCTATGTTGTAGAGATGACTGTAGCTTGACCATAAAGTCCAGCAAGAAAAGGACAGAGAAGGGAAAGGAAAACCATGAAGTCCTTCGGCAACCACACAAAGGACATCCTTTCTGTCAGAACCAAGAACAAGGGTGTCATTTGTGATGAAAACAAACCTCACTTTCACAAGAGAGTTGCTGAACAGGAAAAGTGATTTTCAGTAGCTTTAAGAACGAAGTTGGGGAATTTAAAGTTTATTTTCTAGGGGTGGAAGGTGAGGAGGAACGAGGTAACGGGGTGCTTAGTCCACCTCAGTCAGGAGCTTGATAGTTTTGTTTTCCTTGGAGAGCTTTTGTAAGCTTTGCAAACAAGTGTGCCACCACAAAACCCAACCGTCTGGGTGCAAACCAGGACTAATCGTGTGTCACCGTAACAGGAGCTGCAGTTCCGAGTAGGGGATTTCGGTAGCTCCCCTCCAGTTGTCCTGCTGGCATCTGCACGCCACCATTTCCCACAACCCACTCACCATCTGAAGATAGCACACATGTCCAAGGCAAGTCATTTCCCAGATCACTTCTCCTGCTCAACTCTTGCAACGGGACTAAAGCTCCAGGGCCTGAGTTGTCCTTGTGTCTTCCTGCACCTTGATTGAGAGAATTGAAATAGTCCAGATTACATTTACCCTCAAGTTCAAAGTTTGCAACCTCCGTTCCCCCAACCCCAGTTTATTTCAGCATGAGGTTCCTATTTTATTTCCAAACATGGCCACAATAACCTTCCATAAAGCAACTGCGCTAACCTTAACCCAACGGTAACTCCGGGCTCCACGGTACGTTCACAGTGGCTGATCAGACCAGGCAAATGCTGAGTCCATCCACAAGTATCATTCTAACTTCATAACAGTTATTTGTAATAAAGCCCTATTCTGTGCCCTCTTTACTCAGCCAGCTCTGGTTTGCAGCATCTTTCTGGGTTCTTTGTCTTAAGATGCTTTGGCAAATCTTTATTATTATTTTGGTCTCCTCAATCCCAGCTATTGCAGGAGAACTCCTCCATCCCTCAGGACAAATTCAGAGGGAGGCACTGAAGCAGTATCAGCAACCAAATGAGTTTGTGTGACCTCAAGCCAAAGCTAGCCAGGCTCCATCCTGTCCAAAATCACTGCTTCACAGAGAAGGCAGCCCTCCATTTCTCAAATTAGCCCTTCTGGGCTTGCACGTTGCATATTTACATGGTAAATTTGAGCAAAAACCATAAATCAGAGGTAAAACTGCGCTGGATCTCAATCATCTATTTTCATGCAAGAAGAGGAGGCTGCACAGTGCTCACTAACAGCTATTGCTTCAACCGTAGTTTGATGCAGTTAAAAAAAAAAAAAAAAAATATTTCTGAGCACCCAAATCCTTCTCCACGCAGTTTTTCAATATTAAGAACTACTAGAAAGTGGGAGCTCACTACAGGGCTTTGTTAGTTCCCTGCGTCACCGCAGTCCAAACGTGGCTGCAGGGAGAACGTCTGAGGAAAAGTCCAGAGAGGAAAACAAATATCCCTATTTCTGGGAACACTGCAGCTACAAAACTTTGTTCTCACTAAACTTGTGCTACTTCCTACTTCTTGTGGTTTGTTCTCATGCTGTTTTTAACCTCTTCTCAAACCAATATAGTATTTCTATTTCATGTCCAAAACAAACCAAGGAAAAAACAGAAAACACACCACATACAAAAAAAAACAATTGAACTGAAACCTTTTCACTCCCAAAAGGATTTTAGCCACAATTTAGGTCAATTCTGTTCCTATTTTAACTTATTACAAAAAGCAGCACCGTAGTGCCTCTAAATAAAGAATAGGTTCTATTTTCCAATAAAATAACAAAAGTTGGTTTCGGGAAAAAAAAAAAAAGACAAAACAAAACTGCAGATAAATTTCCAGCTAGACAGTCTGCTTTAAAGGTGATTTTTCTTACGTCATTTCTACATTCTCATATTAAGTAAAATGACCAGATGGGATGAGAAGGGGATGTCCCCCACATGCTTTGAGAACATGTGAAACCCGTGTATGCAGAGAGCAAATGCCTTTTTAAGAGCTATTGAAGCAGCACTTCTTTTTCTTGACCCTTTAACGTGGGATTTTCATTTCAACCCCAGTGGGATCCTGCTCTTGCAGGCACCACACGCACTCCAAAGTCCCTTCAAACTCAGTCCTTGTTAGGCTGGATGCCCCTTAAAGATGCCCTTTAACTCCTGAGTGCAGACTGCTTGCAGAATTTGCTAAGCATCACAAGAGACGTGGCAAGGTAGGACAATACTTCCTACTATCCTGCGCTATTGAAATAATTTCTTATCACTCAAATAGCCATTGAATAAATTCTACATTTTGATTTAGCAGCAACACGATCCAGTGAACGTGAACCGGCCGCATTCCCAGCTGCAGCAGTAAAACACATCCAATCTTCACTGTGACAATAGAGGGAAATAACTCGCAGGTTTTTTTTTTTCTTCCTGCGACCACCCTTCTCAGCAGATGCTAACAGGAGAAGGGCTGAAAACTGACGAAAGGAGAGAAGGTCTCTAAGGTGTAACTACAGAGGGAAAAGCATCACCTTCAACCACCTGTCAGGACAAGGAGAAAAGCAATGACAACTGAAAAATAAAATTAAAAAAAAAAAAATCTCACTCTGGCTCAGGATCAGTAATGCTTTACGCAGTCCCAGTGTCCAAAACAGCACTCCCCCTCCCTCACAGTACCCCAAAGTAGCTGTTTATACTACAGGCTCTGCTTTTACTGCTTATTTCAAAACAAACCTTTGCCATTTCCTGACCAGAAAAGTTGCGCTTTTAATTCTGTGCTAGAGACTTTGAAAGTCAAGATACTGCTGCTTTCCACTATAAATAGCCCAGGCTCGCTATGACATCTCACTGTGACATTTAGTTCCAACAAAGAAAACAAAAATCTTGACAGGAAAGAAACAAACAGAAAAGAATAAAATAAAATAAAATAAAATAAAATAAAATAAAATAAAATAAAATAAAATAAAATAAAATAAAATAAAATAAAATAAAATAAAATAAAATAAAATAAAATAAAATAAAATAAAATAAAAATAATTTTAAAAAACCCACAAGATAAATCTGGGAGAAATAAATTCCTGGATAAATCCATAACCTTGAACAAAGTCCTGTTTTCCAGTCTTTGGGACATGCAGACACCTCACACAAAGTGCCTGATCCTGACTTTGGAGGAGGCAGCATCTTCTCCATGCGATACACATCAGGGAAATCTTATTCCAGCCTCTCTGGGTATAATTTCAAACTATATCCTGGTGTTACTTTCACGCTCCCAAAGTGCTAGCATCCCTCCAAGGTGCCTTGACAATGGTTTTGACTGCATTTATTTCCCAGAGCCCCACGAGCAGCGGATTTTTCACTGCTTGGAGCTGAAATCCTTCCACCAGCGAGGACTCGCGTCAGAAGCTGAACATCCCAAGACGAGTGTCATGCCTTGGGACAGGTTATTGAAAACTTAGAACAGAAGTGATTTCTCTATGTGCTGTATATCACCGGCTCTGCAGCCATTCAGGTTTCTGGGCGTAAGGCTGGACACGGATCTCTTCCACTGATGAGGGTGTAAAGAAGATGGAGCCAGACTTTTCTCAGTGGTAAACAAGGAAAGGACATGAGATAATGGGTATAAATTAAAAAACAGGAATTTCTATTTAATTATTTTTTTAAAAAAATGATTGTGTGTGGTTAAACACCAGAACAGGTTGCTGAGTTTCCATCATGGGAGATTTCCATAAGCCCAGCTGGACATGGTCCTGATCAGCCTTCACCTCCCGACCCAGCCCTGAGCAGCAGGGTTGGACCAAACGATCTCCAGAGGTTCCTGCCAACCTCACCGACCACGTGAGTGCACGGAGAACCTTCCCCAGACCTTTGGTATATTCAGGTCTCAGGCACCGAGAAGTTTCTTGCAAGGAAGGGATGCGAGCATTCTCATTCTCTCCAAGGAAATTACGGAAATTACACACAGCTTGATCTTCTTGCGAGAAGAATGGGAGATAGCAGGGCAGGTTAACAGCTCTGAACTAAACTTACAGGGAAAGCAGCTTCCTAGGAACAAAGAGAATCAGGGAAACAGAGACCTGAAACAGACACCGTGCAAAAGATAACCTTCCTATTGGCTTGCTTTGCTTTTTTAAAAAAAGGCTGCACTATCAAAGAGTAACTTGGCAGGGAAGGATTAACTAGTCTGCAGGACAATTCTGGCCTGACCAAGCATTCAGCTCAAAGGGTTTATGCTTATGGAGACAGCCAACGGCCACGCTGACAGCTACGGGGCAGCAGTGATGGACTCACTGCCATCTCGAGAGACAACCAGACTGTTATACAATCCATATGTATATATTTTTAAAAAGCAGCATCCTTAACAGCAGTAAAAGCCTGTGCAAGAGACTTCCAGAGTCTTTAGTTGGCCTCTGGTAGAGACTGACGCGAAGAAAGTCCCAAAGTACCAGAGACCTACGAGACCGCATGACAGTTCTGGCTGATAGCCGCGAAAACCTGGATTTGTTCAAACAAAAGACAGCAATTCCTGAGCAGTGCTGCTTCTAAGAAGTAATGAATTAGGCTCTCACACTAAGAATTTTCAAAGTTTTAGCAAAAGCTCCATCAGAGAGGATTCATGTTCAGTAGTCTGGGCATTCAAGTTGCATGATTACATGATCTTTGAAGATCCCTTCCAACCCAAACCATTCTATGGAGTCTAAATCCCAAGCGTAGCCCATGAAAGGCTGGCTGACGTGCCTACTGCGCTCTGACGGGTTCAAGCATAACCCAAAGAGCCCATGGTCCTAATTACCTACACCTAGTTGGGTGATGTATGAGTATCTTTATGACAAAATCCATTTAATAGAGGCGGGTACAGAAAATGGGATCCCAGAAAATTTTGAAACTGCTAAAAACTTACTGAGAGATGGAAAGCTGAGAAAAGCATCCAAGATACCACAAAAAATATTCTGTATTTTCAAAAGCAGCCAAGTACTGGGCAAAACCAAAATCATGTAAGTTTTGAGTAGACTCTGATCTGGAGTAGTATTTATCGGACAATTCTAACAGCCCTGGACTCCAGAAATTATTAAAGGCTATGCTGTATTCTTCAATACTAAAAAACTTCTTATCATCTTTCCTGACTCAAATAATTCAGACCCTTTCCTCTCGAAGTGATGAACAAATTCCCAATATTCATTACCTTATTTACAACACTCCAACTCTTCACCCGAGTACAGTGAAAGAGAAAACACACCACCACCACCAGCACCCACCCAAGATCACCAGTCACCTGCCAGTCACAGCTCTAGCTGCCTCAAGGTACCACCAAGTACTAATTTTAATTTTTTTTTTTTCCCCCCATAGTTTAAAGCCTTGCTATACAGATGCAACTGTCTAGTTTAATTACCACTATATGAGATATGAGGTCACTGGATTTCAACCTGCAGCCTCTCTGCTCGTTGGAGAGAAAAAAAGCCTCCAAATGACAGAAAACACAACACTCCCTTGGTAACTGATTAATTATCCTCAATCTGGGTATTGATTTTTCCAAGTTTCCATTTCTAGGCCTCAATACCAGACTGAAATGCCCCTAATGACAATTTCTTCTTGCATAGGAACCCACAAACACATCCTAAGGTACGTCTTTCCCTAACTTTCTCTTCAATAAGCTACATTAAGCTCTAAATTGATCAAAAGTTATGTGTTGCATTTCTATTAGAAGTCCAATTCACAGATTTTCGGGACAGGGTAGGGGAAAATCTCTTTAAGCCTCATAGCACCGAGGGAAACTTTGCACAGGCTCTTTGCATTCTTCACGATTTACATCGAAACTAGAGAGAGAAGCAAGTCCTGAGCCCAGCACAGACACACAGGCATTAAATATACTATTTTTCTAATAACAGCAAATCTCTAAATAGTCTGATTTTTCCAGTTCCTATCAAATTATGATCACATTGAACATTGCCAAGTTGAAACCATCAGCTTTTGCAGGGCACCTTTGGGGATGCGTAACCACCTTCATCTGTGAACCCCTTAGACTTCAGGAACTATTTCTACACTAGAGACAAACCCATAGTCTCTAAGTTTCACAGAATCGTCTAGGTTGGAAAGGACCTTGAAGATCATCCGGTCCAACTGTTCACTTGGCACTGACTGATCCCAACTCCCCCAGATCCCTCAGCGCTGGCTCAGCCCGACTCTTCAACCCCTCCAGGGATCCCGGGGACTCCCCCCTGCCCTGGGCAGCCCATTCCAACGCCCAACAGCCCCTTCTGCACAGAAATCCTTCCTCAGAGCCAGCCTGACCCTGCCCTGGGCAGCTTGAGGCCTTTACCCCTTGTCCTATCGCTTATTACTTGGTTAGAGACTCATACCCAGCTCTCTGCAACCTTTCAGGTAGTTCCCTGACTTTTGATTTTTTTAAACGTCTCAGGTGTTGGGGTTCTTAATTCCCATCTGTTTAGTTATGCATTCTGCAAAAAGGGTTCCCAACATGTAAGATAGCACAACTGCAAGCAATTTTTTTTTTTTCTATTTTGTCCTGAAATTTCAAAAGTTCATTTTGTCAACGAGAAAGACCAAGACTGAAAATACTTCTACCCCAGTGGTTAAATCTCTCCAGAAAACACCTGTCATTACACATCTCTAAAGTGTACATAACTTCTCCCTTGCTTCAGTACTTCCTCTAACTTCATTTCATTTTACCATTTTTTTTTTTTTTAAATTCACGTACGTACTACTGCAGTGCCAGAGCACATTTGTTCAAATGCAGAATTCAAAACAACTCTTTTAATGCTGTTTCACTTGCCAATTCATCCGCAGCTTCCTGCCAAGTTACAAGCTAATTTCTAGTACAAAGATCACCATCACCACCATAGCTCACCTTTCTTCTATTCCGAGGAAGGACATCAAATTCATTTCAGGAGGGAAGATGCAGCTTATTAGGGAGAAGGGATATGCAAATTTTATCTTAGACACTGATGTTTTATTTTTAGCAGCTCAGTGATATTTATAAGGCTGTGAGGACTGGATACATGGCTGCAGTAGGATGAAGTAAGTATCCCAGGGGCAGGTATGAAAAATCTGCACATCTGCAGGGCAGGACAAAGAACAGACAGTGCTGCCTGAAGTTCATGAAAAGGGGGAGAAGGCCAAATGCTCCGAGCATATCTTCTTACAGTTGTTCTCAAAAAGCAAGTAACTAGGAAAAAAAAAAACCAACCCAACATCTTGACCCTAAATTTTAGCTCATCTTGTATATTCCTTATTATTAAAGGTATTTATATGGTGAAGTCCTGGAACACATAAATTAAATAAGAAAATCTGAAAAAAAAAATTTAGCTCAATCTGGGAAAGCATCGAGACAGGAGTTTAAAAAAAAAAAAGAGTGGTTACTCAAAAATAATGATTGTTCTAAATTTCTGACATGACCCCTAAATCCCCCCACCATGTGCTTCAATTTGCCAATCTGAAAACAATTACCTCATAGCAACACTAAAAGCTTTCACGTTTTTAGAAGAGATTTGCTGACTTCAAGGAGCCATCAAACAGTTCACTGTAGTTGCTCATACCTTTGCCATAAATTCACCATTGAAGATGCAAAGAAAACATAAAACATCAGAATAAATTGGACCGGAACTCAACAATATACTTAATGCATTAGGAGCGTTGAATTCACCTTCTGCCATTTCTTAGGATCCCTTTTTGCCTGGAGAGAGCATATGCTTTCACCTAAACCTGATACTGTAATTTAAGGCGGAGTTCTTGGGCGAAAATACTTAAGAGAAATCTTGCTCAACTTTATATTCTCATGGCCTTTCAGTCCTAGATATGCCAGGGGCACTCAAAATACTGCACAGACCCCAAGTGACAATGAAAACCTGATACAAGCCAGAAGAACCGTGTGTCATCTGCTCTGGGCTTTTCATAACCGAGTATGGAAAACTACAGACTATGCCTTATGCTGGCATCTGCAAAGCACAACCAACTGTCCAATCCCACTGGCAGCAAAATCTGTATTAAATCACTTTTTGTCATCCTGCAGCAATGTGGAACTTCCAGGGCTTAGATCATGGCTTGGTCACTCTTGTTGGTTATTTCACTAAAACACAAGTAGAAAGCTCCAAAACAACTAGCAAAACCTGACTCACCTAGAATGGCATACTGGTAGGGTTATTTTTTTTTTTTAACTGAAGAAATATGGTGTGTTTCATTTCGTATGTATTATTCTCTTCAATCCTGAGCACTAAATACTGCAGAAACCAAACCAATACCTATTCCAACATAAAGGTAACGCAAAAGTAATTCTCTTCCTAACCCACTATTCCCATATTTGTACGCTGAATTTATCAGGACACTTCTCCACTGTAATAAAGTACATTATTTTGGAACTAATGCTGATGGAAAAGAAAACAGAAGGGGAAAAAAAAAAAAGTATGAAAGTCATAGGTACTTAAGTTTATCAAATAACGGAGGCTAGATGAAAAAACAACAGCACCATCTACAGGTTACTGCATGTTTTTACATAGGTGGGTTAGTCAGGACAAGTAAGAAAGTTTTAGGTTGTGTATTTTTCGTTTTGAGTTACTCTAGTTGGAGTTTTATCTTAACTACAGTATCAACAGTAAAATCACAGCTTAAAAAAAAAAAGACTGACGCAAAAAAGCTGTATTAGACTTTGGATGAAATCTACTTACAGTAGTACTTCAGCACCAAAAAGTGGGCAGTTAGGCTGATAGATGTATATACAATTAAATGATATGTCAAAGTCTTAAAATGCTTAGTTATTTATAATGAAATCTATACAAAACAGTTAAAAACGTGTTTTTATATACATTTGGAAAAAAAAAAAAAGTATTGTCTTCATTAGCAGAATGTATTAAAACTGGTTCTCTTATCCCATGTGAACCCAAACCTCTCTGTGGCTTATAACCATCACAAAACCCCAATGTATTGCTTCAACAAGCCAAGTCATAAGGCTAATTTCTGAAACCTACCACTGTATACCGATTTAAGCTTTTAAACTCCCAAAATGGTCACTTTAAAAACAGCATGTAAGAGTAAAATACAGATTTTTTTTAAAAGCCTTAGCTCACTTCTAAATTCCGAGGTTCAACTTAGAAAGATGCTGAACCACTTTATCCCCAATTTTGAAAAACTGATTTATAGCAAAATACAACACCCCACCCCACCCCCCGTTTGTATTATAATTAACACACCTGCCTGTTTCACAGGAACTTTTTTTTACACAGCTAGGGCTCACTTTAAATTTTATATTTAAATAAATAATCAAAGATTAACTAGATGAGCATTTCACGTGCTTATGGCACAAAGAAACGCCTCATACACCGTTACCCTACTTCTTGTAAAGCATGAAAACAAAAAATCCACTAGCAAATCCCCTTTGCTACCAGTTAGTGATTTTGCTTGTTTCCAAACATTCACCAAAGAGAATTTAAAAAAAATAAACTATGTTTTTAGGCTTATGAAAAAAAAATCTTAACTCTAAGTGAGCACAAGTGCAAGAAAGCTAACCAATTCCAAAATTCCTGGGGCTTTTCCAGCACTGTCAGAGACACTTTTTCTCTCACATGCTATTTAAAAATACAAATATTTATTAAACATTCTCTGGTTTTGATGGTGTTTTGCTCAACAGCTAACAAAAAGACACAGCAAAATAACGATCCCTTTTCACTGAAAGCTGTTTCAGTATCTGGGCAAGGGCCTCAATAGCACGAGCTGTAGAATTCGCTGCAGATTTGTTTTTGTTTTTGTTTTTTTTTTAACAGGAGTACATTCCACTGTCACAGGTTTACTAAATCTTGGTAACTACATCTTTTCCTTTTTTTTTTTTTTAAACAATTTTTAAGATGCAGCTTTTGCAATACCGTCTTGTTAAAACACACTGATGCTTCAAGGGTCCAATGAACAACTCTAATAGGCAAAAGTGCTCTAAGACATCACAATACAAGGGCATCTTGGATACTCAAAATCCCAAGATATTTTTAAAGTGCACTCCAGTGTCCCAATTCCTTAGGATTGTTCAGCAGAACTTCGAGAGGGGCTGGGCTCAGTGCCGTCCTCAGTGCTACTGTCCACATCTTGCTCCATTGCTGTCTCCTCATCGTCGAGGCGCTGACTGGTGAAGTTGTTGAGCTCCAGGAGCCCGCTGGGTTCCACTACCACATTGGAGCTGGAGTGACAAGGGATGGAATAGTGAGGGATAGTCTGAAAGAAAGAAAAGATTTCAGTTTTAACGCGCGCAGCTCTCCCAGGTAAAGGCGTCTGCGCAAGCGCAGGTACTCATGGAAAAGGGGTATTTGGTTTCCAAGAGCAATTTTCCCAAGCTGAGGCCCGCTGCATGTTACATTACATTACCTAAAGCTTCAGAGCACCCTTTCACTGGATTAGGTTGTGAAAGATAAAATGTGAATAATCTTGCTCTGAAGACACTCATCTTGGCCTTGGATCTCCACTAAAGGTCTGTGACAGCGTAACCAACAGCTAAACCACCAGTGCCCACCATCCACTGTTCCCCAACCACAAAGCAGAGATAATACTTTCTTATCTTTTTCAGGCAAAACATTCAGATATTAGGACTAGCTACGTGTTTTGTTTTGGGTTTTGGTTTTTTTTTAATACAAGACAGTACAAGCTCCGGCCCTGCTCAGAGCTGCAGCAGCACAGACGCTAAGGAAACACAATGGATCTAAGCTATTTATTTCTGCTTATACTTTCATAGCTTCTAGAAACTAAATCTACAACTTTATACAACTGAAATCCTGGACAGTGTTTTACTTTTGAAATGGCTCATACCATACCACAATGATAAACAATACAGATTCTGAAAAATATACAGATTTGAAGTAAAATAGAAATCTACCTTTGTCTATTTAGGGAAATGAGGACTAAAAATGAGTACAAAGATGATGATTTCTACAAAAGCGAAGTTAGCTGCAATGAAGATTTTACAAAGTAGCATGAAAAATTTGAAAGCTCTGTACACAAATTATTTCCCACACCAAAAGCATTTTCATTGTAACACAAGTATGATACACAATAAAACCATTTCCAATCCACGCTACCATTTGTGTGAACATATACCATGGCAACTTGTCTCCAAAAGATTCGTATTATACCACTACGAGTCCTTGGATGACTTAAGTACTTCCTCAGTTGACATTCTGACCATGTATTACATCATAAAACATCGTATTTAAGACAGCAGAATCAATTAAAGTATCAATCATCAGTTAGGCAATGACTCAAAAGCATTTAGGCTAAAGATCAACAGTCATTTCATCTCCAAAGTGGTAAGACTGGTTACAAGTGAAGTTAGCAAGCTTTCTTCTGAATCCAGACCTTATTTGCTGCACTTTCCCAGTAAGAACCACCCCACTACTTCATTTTTTGGTGCTAATTTTATACTCAGAGGTAACATTAACATACTATAAAAAGTTCTAAACCGTAGTTCACATTTTAAAAGGTCACATTGTAAAGCATTGCAAATAGAAGTACTTTGTAAAATTAGATGAGCTTGGTTTGTTTTCTTAACAGAAAAAAAAAAAGGAAGACACCAAGTGAATGATACAGTGCTAGAGAAACTCGAGTTCACTTTAAGAATTACACACTTTGAGGTAGTTAATCCATTACAAGCGTAAGAGTAGAAAAAGAACCAAAAACCGGGGAAGGAAAACAAAAATACTCGAACACCGTTCAGTTGCTATCATCATATTAGACATGAGTTTGCTCTGCTCAATCTTTGCCTTATTTGCTCTGGTCTTCGCTTACCTGGATAACAATTTCTGATGAACTCTCTTCAGCTTTCTTTTGTGATATATTCTGAATGTGTACAAACTGGTTTGTTGTAGGCATTCCTTGTGCATCGAGTTTCCTCTCTGTTAAAGTAGGACCAACAGCAGGAGGACTTGAACTGGATTCTGCACGTGTCTGTTGCTGGGGGATGGAAGTTGCCGTCATCCCTACTGCAGTCACCCTCGGCACCTGGGTACAAGGTGACGACTCTGCTTCGCTAGCGAGTTTACTAGTGGACATGGCCTTGTCTGGGGGATCCACTATCGTCTGTTCTACGTTTGTATCAATCTGAGCTTCCACCATAGACACTCTCAAAATATCTGCTACTGCTGTCTTCATGGATGCCTGCATGGGAAATAGGCTGGTAACCGGCAACGCCAGTTTGGGCACAGAACTGCCACCTGCTACCTTTGAAACAGAAGGAGGCTGACGCCCCTCAAAAGTTATCTTTGTAACAGTGGATCCTTGCGTTATAATTGGATGCTGCACCTGAAAATCAAATTTTTGTTGTGCATGTTACAGCTAGATTTTTTTTAATTTTTTTTTTTAATTGAAAATCTAATCAATATTTCCAAGGACAGTATGGAACAAACAACATACTTGCTATTAGGAAGACAGTTGAAACTCAGTGTTTTAACAAAGGAATTAGCAATGATATGGTAACAGTTAATTGAAGCCTGGGGAAAAGCAGCTTTTTAGGCTGCTAGATAAGGGTTGTAGCAGTATAATACCACAGCAGCCTCGTTTTCCTTTGGGATTTACATCCCCATGTGATGTTTGTAAACCCTCTTGTTTTCACATGTATTCCTGAAAGGGCCAAAGAAAAAAAAAAAAGTACTTTTCCGAGTTAGTTAAAATATGTTTGGGTTTTTTTTTTTGCCACGTTCCTCAGTCTTTACATTTTCCCCTCCCAAGGAAAAAATCAAATTACTCCTGTACATGAAAGCCATATAACTTCAGGAAGATGTAAACTACAAAGGAAGACGTACAATGGAGAGCCTTAGGAGACTGCAGTGTATTCATCTTTATTTCCACAGAAATAAAAAGTGCTACGGGAACGGACATTAATTACGTGTCATATCTAAAAATTAAAAGAAAATAATTAGGGACAAATTCCATGCACCAGTGGTGGCAGAAATTCATAAAAACTGTCCAACAAAACACGTTTGTGAGCTCTATGGATTTTTCCCCTATAACATGTGCTTCTCTCTCCTAGTGTCAACCTTCTGGTGGGGTAATTAATACCAGCAGAATGAGGAGTTCTCTCTTGCCAGGACAAAACACTGCTACAGCGACAGGGTTGGTGTTTTGATTTTTTTTTTTTTTCCTTGAACAGCGACGTGTATTTTGCATGCTATCAATATTCCGTTACCTGGCTTGCTGGCTGTTTCTCTGAAGAGGCAGGTAGCTGCATTTGACTCTGGGGGGGTTGGGGTTGCACGTAGATTTTTTGTGCCGTTGGTGCCTGTTGCAGTTTGGGCAGCTGCTGCGTGGTTTTTACTGCAAGCACCTGTACTACAGTTTGCTGTGGCTGTGCCACTAAGGTAGGGAGTTGCCTTTCTTTGGCCACCATGTGGTGGGGGGGGTGCTGTGCATCTGGTTTGGTCTGTGCTTGCTCTTGCTGCAGGGGGGTTAGCTTTTGATGCCTTATAGAAAGCTGGGGCATTTGTGGGAGTTTGTGCTGGATTTGATCGGCCTGCAGGTGGATTGTCTGCTTCTGCTTAGTCTGGAAACACTGCAGAGTTTTCACTTGCAGTTGAGTCTGTTCCAGCTGTGGCTGACTCAGTTTTTGCTGTTTTTGTGCCTGTGATTGTGTCAGGGCAGATCTGTAAAACAGGCCAGTCTGAGGATCTAAGGTGTCCATTTCTTCCACTTCGCCTTCCTCAGTTCCAAGTTGTTCACTGTGTTTGGTAAATGCAGTGTGACTGCTTAAGGCCTTAATAAGAAGAAGTTAGAGCAAGTTAGTAAAGAGAAACATAAACTATAAGAATACACAATCTAAACATAATTTGTAATGTTTCAACCGGACTAGTTCAACTTATTTTACAGTTACAGACTCCCAATAAATATATATAAAGATACGCTTACATGGAGATTCCAAAATGCATAAGCAATCAACAGCTACTTTTATCATGCTAAAAATGTGGTCCATCTTTACATGACAACATCAACTGCACAACTAATCCTCAGTGGAGTTTATGCAGCCCTCATGTGTGTCAGGCTAAGGTTCAAAGCCCCTAAGTGCATGGCAGTTGGATATGAAGCAGCAGGGAATAGCAGGTGGTGGAACCAGTAGCTCCTCATTAAAGCCAAGAGTCTTTCTGCACAGTAAATTCTTGTTCTGCCTCTTGAGACCCTAGTCATCATCTCTGTGATTTTTTTCTGCAGCTCCCCATGTACCTACAGTCTACCCTATTTAAACAGAGATCCTCTCTTATCCTTCCTTCCTCAAAATTTTATTACAATTTTTCTTGGGCATTGCACAAATGCTGTTTGGTTTTCTGGAGGATTTGAGGAAGCAAGAAGAGACCTACATTACTATGCTTTGTATACCATAGTATAAAGGTATTAATAAATGGCCTTAGGAAGACAAAGTAGCCTACTCAAACACCTGTGAAAATACACTCTGAAGTGAGTTTATAACCCTAACACAGCACTGTCCTGTACAGAACCCTGTCCCTACACTAACACCAACATCAGAGCCTAGGCCTGTGCAATACAACACATAGAAAAAAACCCACTTGTTGCTGTTGAAGAGATGACATACAGACAGCAAGAACTCATCTAGGAAGCACTAACTTTTCCACAGTGGTTGTTAAAACCTCTTAACAGTCTTAATCTCATTAATTGCTTCCCTTTTATCCCACCACCTTCACCATTAAAACAGGAAAAATTAAGTTATTAATTTGCCCTTACACCAGTGGCAGCAACATGACACACATTCAGAACAAGCCCTTGTCCTGTATCATTCATACAACCTACTGGTGTTTATTTATAGACTGTTGGGAAAAGAAAGGGTACAACCTGCTGCATGATATGGGTAATTGCGCCTGTGGAGGATGCGGGGATAGATTTCACCACAACAGAAGTCTGCGTTGCTGTCTGCGACTGAGCCACATGCTGCAGCAGAGTCCTCTGGGGCTGAGATGACTGCTGGTGGGGCTGGGACCGATGGCTGACTGAAAGTAAAGAGGTCAGTGGCACTTCTCCAGAACTAACTGCAGTAACTTCCACTATTTGCTCTGCATTTAAGCTTCAATTGAAAGCATATATGACTGAAATAAAGATCTGAGTATGAAAACCATCTTTTGCTGTATGCTAGCTTCAACCTTAAAGTGTAGATCTATTCTGAGAAGCCTCATAAAAGTAGCAATTCAGGGGGTTTGCTTTTGTCTCTGTTTCTTAAGTAATCACACTTGGTCCAAACCTCCTCTGGCCCCCCTCTCCCAAGACACCAACTCTGCAAACAGAATTCATGCTCTATTTTCAGCTGGGTTCTTTATACAGCACCAGCATAACACTGTAGAGCACAAGTTATTCTGTGGTTTTTACACTGTTAAAAGCACCTGTACAATTGACTGCAATTAAGAACAGCAAACCTTGCTCACTGAATTTCTATCACTGATAAACCGCAAGAAATACTCTCCAGAACACTGGCTAAATTTGAAAGATTAGCAATTAGAAAACGTTTGACTATCATGAAAGCAAGTGAGGTTGATCAGAAATCACAGGCCAAAAAAATTGAGACCTTGCCATGGGTCTATGTCACTTTTTAGAACAGATCCAGTTATGGAGCTATGTGATGGCTCTGTAATTAAATAGCAGACTGACAGAGAAATTACCTTCTGCTGAGAAAAAAAAAAAAATCCAAACCCCATTCTATATTGCAGTCACTGATAAGACATGAATCTAAATTACTTTATGCCTGTCCATGCTGATATTTAATTAACTTTTCAGTTACAAAATAATCAATAACTGAAGGCGAACAAGCAAACTTTAAATTCAGTTGTAACGTCACTTTAAAAGTTTCTAGTGACCTTCCTGAAAATAAAATGAAAGGTCATATTTTGATTCACATAATTTTACTTTCCTGCTCCAAGGAAGGAGCTGGATAATATCAATACCGGCCTGCATGCTGTGCCAGATCCATCACGGATATCCCCCAACAGTTCCTGCACAATTGAAAACTTAATTTAAAAATAAAGTTTCTAACCTATATGGTTGTGTAGATATTCTTCCGAATGTGAACCAATACAGTGTTGTCTTCCTGAGTCTGTAGACAGACAAAAAACGGTGACACTAAGATGTGTGAACGGCTCCCTTCATCTCACAAGGAAGCACATGCTGAATCCCAGCTCCCATATAGATTAAAGTGTGCCTAATCCTTTGGTCTAGGCACACGCAGGAGATTGCACAACAGATTATGGACTGTTTACTGCTGGATTTTTAGCAGAAGATATAGCTACATAGATTACTGATGAATCCTGAGAAGCACAAATTAAACCAGAAAGGAACACTCAATTACCTGCATTCCCTGGCAGTGTTCACAGAAACTGGGGGAAGGGACAAAAATTTAAGAGCAAAATAACCAGTTTTGTGCTGTAGCATAAACTGCTGCTCGTCAATCCACAGCAGCCTGCACTTCTCTGGCAGATTCCTGTATAGCAACTCAAGGTTTATAAAAATCCCAGGTATTTCAAATAGTAATCATAGCTCAGGGAAATTTTCAACTTTTGTACTTTGTATGGCTTCTAAACTGCAGAAGAGGACTTAAGTCTACAAAAATACCAACTGTAATCTCCTATCTTCCCTGCAAAGGGCCCTATTTGACGTCAACTTTTACAGCAAGACCCAACAAAAATTGGAACTTGGACTAGAAGGACTGTAGTATCTGTGTCAGTGAAACTGACTGTTAACTGGAGATCACTTCACCAATATTTATTGTACTTCTGAGTTTGTTTTAAGAGAGATCCAAGGGAGCATGACTCAAACATTCAAAATTGAAGCCAGATACAGTAAGTGTTATATAAAAGAGAAACAATTAACATCCCCCCAGCTCCACTTTCACACAACTTAAATTTGGATCATACAAGGGATGGAAGCGAGGGGAGAAGGTGCAGAGCAGGCAAATGAAAAATTAAAATATCAGATAAAACATTTAACACCAAAACCACTAGAGTTACAGATGTGTACTTAAGACAATTTAATATAAGCAAGTTTTATTTCTCCTTTCAAATTGTGTATTTTCAACATACTTTTCCTTTCATTTTCCAAATAAAGTAGGGAGACCAATAATGTGGACTTAAATTTAAATGAAAAACAGGTAATCTGATCCTCTCACATGTATGGGAAGTGGCTCGCACCTCATATTCTGGGGTAGTAGGGAGCATGAGAGATGGGGGAGTCAAGGACTTATACAAAATGAACAGCCAGATAGGAGTCAAGAGTTTAAAAAGAGCTGAATCCCAACTATAATTTCAATTTGAATAATTTATTTGTTTAAAAAGTGCAAATTTATCAGTTCAAAGCCTTCTAGCAAATGAAGAAACTGGTGATTACGTAAGATGCTAAACGCACATCTGCTTTAAAACCCACTTAGTCCTGATAAGCAAGTGACATTTTGCAAATATGGGTTAAACTAACTCGTCTGACTCATCTGGATATGTACCAGAAAATCAGTATACAGTCCCTGTAACTTAATTTTCTACTTTTGCCTTACTAGACATTTTCCTTAAAGACAAGTGGGACAGTCTGTCCTCTCCATCAGATCAGGGAAGAGAAAATTTGTTCAACTAGGATATCTCAAAGCAACAATCCCCTGTTTCAGTTAGAAACATTCTCCACTATGTGCCCCAGAAAAGCAGATACAATCTCTGTTCCCTGCACAGGGTCTCAAGAGTGGAAGAAAAGACTCATTTCCCCCCAAGCAAATTATAGTTAAAACATAAAAATAAAACCCTTTGTAAGAAAACTCCAAAATAAAGTCCCCAAACTTTAACTGCACTACCTGTCACTTACCAGTTGTGATATATTCAGCTACTAATTCCGACTCTACAACAGCAATTGAAG